CAAGTACTGTATCTCTCTACTGTGGCCACTCACTCGTGGCGGCGTGAATGTAGGTATGCTCTACTAGGTACAGTCCTCATCCACATACACTACTCAAGGACTGTACAAATACTGTATCTCTCTGCTGATGCTGCTCGCTCATGGCGGCGTGTATGTGGGCATCTCTATCACTCACAGGTTCCCCATCGCAAAAACCTTATATCATAGCATGCTATAGAAAGAGAATAGAAAGAGATACTATACACCTTTCAACATGAATTTCCAAGCGATGGAAATTCTACACTTGCATTCTTTAAAAACATACACTTTCCATATATGAACATATCATTTCATCATGACCATTTTGTGGATGCATAACAAATTCATAGAAACAGATCATCCTTAGGCTTGTTTATACATACACAAGCTCATACTTAGGTAATATATAACATATTACACATAGCCTCCATGGTCAAGCATTACATCAAATATATATGTTCATACAATCATTAAATAATCACAAAAGACCACTCATTCAAACATGCTTCACAACCTTTTAAGCATCATTTTCATACTTGGAATCAATCATAGATTGTTAGATTAAGAATAAACTAATAAATTGGAAGCACTTTTGAGGTAGTCATTCTGCACAGGTCATATTCAAGAAGGCATATCTCAAGTTATATACATCGGATTGCTATGGTCTTGGTCTCATTTTAAAGCTTAGAGAAAGGGCTACAACTTTTATGTTCAAGCCTCAACCTAGTTTGATAGGTAAGATGCCCAAAATCACTCAGAAAGTCACGGATTTGACAGGGCAACCTTGGTAACATGCCTACTTTAAGGCTTTTCCATACCTATTTACCTCCACTTACTCCCTGACCTTTCCTAACCATTCTCCCCTGTGAAAACATGTTAAAATATCAATAACAGACAATCAAACTTCAATTCTTGCCTTTCTCTAACCCTTTCTTCATTAGGGTTTAGCCAACTCATGCATGCAATTTCTCTTAAGATTTTTATCAAACACTTCATATGCACATGCAACTACCATGTTGGCTACACTTTCACAACTCTCTAATTCAATCAAATTGTGAGCCAAAAACTCACTAAATTTAGTATCAAGCCTAGCCGAATTTCTCACTTCTCTATACTCCAAAAATTTCAACACAAAATCTTCCACAACATCATATAACCATACACTACTTCTCATAGCTAGAATTTATACATCAATAAACATAAAAAAAATAGCCCATAATTCTCTCATACCATCACATACAAACATGCAAAAATTCATTCAACACAAGTCTTGCTCAAATTAAGGTTCAAATTAGGTTTACTTACCTTGAATATGTGAGATCAGTTCCCTTTTGCTCTAAATCTCTTCCTCTTGGACCTAGATCATATAAAAACCATAAAAATTTAAAACTTTAAAGTTTAATCATACTCCTTTTGCTAGAATCTTACCTTAGGATGCTTTAGGATTGAAAATCTATGAAAATCCAAGCCAAATCCTATGATTTCCCTTTGAAATTTAGTGAAGAAAATTGAGAGAAGATGGGGAGAAGATGGCGTGAACAAGGGCTGCATTTTGGTTAGGGTTCTTCAAATGAAACCTTATATCAAATAATATAAGCATGTATTCCCATTTTGCCCTTGCACTTCTATAAAATTCCATTTATGTCCTTTAGTCAATTACTAAAATACCCTCATTTTTATTATCTTCTTCACATTATTCTATTTCTTTTCACTCCCCACTCTTTCATCTAATTAAGAGTGAAATGACAATTTCACCCTTAATGAACTTTTAAGGAATTTTCTTCACATTTGCCTAAGGTAACTTCAAAGAAATTCAACTAAGGGTATTAAGGCATAAGTAAAATTACGTACCTTGATGTGGGCGTTACAAGAATGTAAGGAATGTCTTCAGATAGGCATTCTGCATTTGCTCTCCACAAGTTTCTTGGACTCGCCACTTCATTATATACAAGAACAGTTACAAAGAGCTGTCTTAACTGTCTTCCGGTAGCCCACGTTGATGCTTCATCCAAGTAATCATTCCACTCTTTATCATCATCGAGCAATCCTAATACATAACATGTATCTTTGAACGTAGGGAATATTTCTCCATTGACAGTTCAAATATCTTCAAATGATGTTGCTCCTCTTACTAAGTTTAGAAGCATTCGCAAATAATATTTCTCACTAGTACCTGGAAATGCAAAATACACCCTGCCAATACACCTTGATTTTTATCATGGGGAGCTTTGTATTTCAATATCCTTCCAAGCCCATTTGCTCAGAAAATCAAGATAAGTCAATGATATTATAGAATGGTATCATTGATTACACTTCATCCATTCAGTCAATTTCATTTACGTAACAACCTTGCTTTCCAAAAGTTGAACCAAACATTTACTTGGATCAAAAATAACTGTTTGTTCATTCACGGGTGCATCTGCAACCTTTACCTATTCGTTCTAGAAGCTCATCAAGTACGAGGTCAATGTTTCGTCTCTCTTCTGACGAATGTTTCTCAAGTAGCTAAGCGGTATTATGAGTTGCCTCCTTGCTTGAAATTGCTATAAATACAGTGAGGAGAATTATTGCCAAGAGTTGATGGAATTCACCTTGAGCCTCTTATACCACCTCTTGGCATCCCCCATTAATGTGACTGCAAAGCACCTGCACTTCACCAAATCAGAGACCTAGTACAGCTCCATCAGGTCATTGAAATTGTCGAGGTGGACTCTTGGGTCCCCTCTCCTACCGAACTTACTTTTTTACGCCCTGAATCCTTATGGAAGTGGGGCCTAGCGAACTTCCTTTGTAAATGGGGAATTACTATTTCCTCGGCCATGCCATTCTGGCAGGCTTTCATATCATCAAGTATTCTTTGTACAAGATCTAAGTCTTCATTATGGTTGCCTTGGCTGGCTCTATTCAGCCTCACTTCAAGCAACTGAGTTCGCAAATCTGTCGCTTACGAAGCTCCTCTATTGTGCACATTGATGTGCAAAGTTGAGTCATGATGGCTAGGTTGATAAGTGATATCATGCTCGTTAGTTCGTTGCTTGTGACATCGGTTATAACCGGAACGTTAGTCACTACCAGATTGGCGCACATGGCTCATCTCGCAAGCTGGCAGGGATCGATCTTGTCTAGGGCATGGGTTAATACCGGCACGCTGACGCTGGGGATATTGTCGAGCATCTCGGGGAAGACTGTTGTCTTCACTCTCTCCCAGTGGTTGTTTCCCTGGCCGCCTCCTAGGGTTAGTTTGCCCTCAGAACTTGCACTTGTGAGTGAAGTGCAACTTGCGATGTCGAGGGTATTGGCTGCCTCTTGGCATCGATGAACTGGACTGGTTGCCTATAAAATTCATACCTGTTGGGGTGGCGCTGGTGAAGCATAGCTGATTAAGATTCTTGGCAGGCGGTTGCCGATTCCTCAACTCAGCCACGTTTTATTGCACTGCCTATGTGACCATCGTTCTGATCATTTTCACCAACTGGCCGTTTTCAGGGTTTGACCTCCCTGCCCCTGGTTATTTGCAACATACTAAGTTGGTGGCACAGGTGGTCGGCATCCAGTGGCGTCTTGTTGTACCTCTTGATGGGCGGTTTCCACATTCTCAAGGTTTTTGGTAGTGGTCTTGGATCTGGTGTGCACCATTGTGAGCTTGGATTAGGTAGGTTGTTGCGATTGTTCGTAGGAATTGCTGTGATGTTGGCGAAGGCCCTCCTTCTAGCGCCAAAATGTTGATACATAAATCTGCACCAACCAGAGAATTCTGATCAACCTTGATGGGACCAAAATGGATGAGTGCGTGATTATAGGTAACCAGCATTAGACAAAATTAAGTGCAATAAAATAAATGTCAATGAGAGTTTTAAAGTGGTTCGGCAAGGTAAACTCCTGAGCCTAGTCCACTGTTTTTTGTATTTGCCGTGAGAGCTTACAATGTGAATTCTGTGTTAAAGTCGTAACCCCTTTTTCATCATTTGTGAAGGTTCATATACAAGGTTTGTACGAAGGAAAAATAAAAATAAAGGGATTACAATTGATATGAACTGCAATTTTGTTATTCTCGTGATTGAGAGTTGTGACTGCGCAGAGATTGATGTTGATTTGGTCATTTCCGCAATATCTGGGCAGTCAATAACTAGATCTCTAGTCGTCAACGGCCAAATTTGGCCGGTCATGCGCCGTTTCGACCTCGTTGACTGGCGGTGGTTGCTGGCAGGCAGTGGTGGTATTGGGTGGATTAATTTTCAGATTGGAAAGAGAGAAAAATGAGAAGGAGAGAAAGAAAATTGTTTTCAGTGGAATAGAGTTTGATAATCTGAAAAAAAGTCCTACTCTCATTTCATTTTTAGACAAAAAAAACTTATTTGAGTTAGATTAATTTTCATATTGGAGTAGCCCAATAAGTAAACAAACATATATCTTATTTTTAATCCAAATAAGATAACATAATAATGATCAATAGTGTAACAAACAAGGGTCAAGTTTGTCAAAATAGATTAGGAGTAATTACATTTTAGTCCTTAAAGTTTTGGTTAACTAAATCAAGAACAAACTTTATTTTCACTAACAAAAACATCATAAGAGACGTTAGCGTGAAACTGACAGCTAGAGGGTAAATTTAACTTTTAGACTAGAAAATTATTAAACTAATTAAACAGTAATTTTATTTAATTTTTTTATTAACCATTCCGTCAAAATCCACATCTAGCCCTTATTATCCTATCAAAAAAAAGAAACTTGGGCAGAATAATTATCATTTTATTTTAATTTAATAAGAAATCATATTTCTTTTGTTTAGGGGTATGTTAGACTTTATACGAAGAATATCGTATTAAAGAATGAAAGTTCAGTAATGGCGGTTAGATTTATGAACGATTTTGCTGGTAAGAAATCAATATGTCCTGAATTGTTAGTGAAACTATAAGCCGGGTCGACTAATCGATCAGAAGGTTACAGTACTATACATAAAACTCTTTAATATATAAACTCAATCATTCTGTATTCTCTTTTTGAAGATTTGCCTCGACTTGAAAAAGACTTTCCACATGAACAATTGTGCAAAACCATTTTGGCAGCCCAGAAATCAGCAGCTCCTTAAACTCCTCTCTAGCAGGGTCATATGAAACCAGAGCGCCATTCTCACTCTGCAGCAAAATATCTCCATTCTTCAGTATGCATATAACTCGATTACCTCCTTTACCAAGCCTTCGTTCCTTCCATATTTGTGAGTCCATGTTCATGCGCATATCTTGACGTAGGCTACTTGGCACATATGTCCCAATTACATATTTTTTCATCCATGAGTCCTTTACATTGTATTCGTTCATAAATATCTCTATTCCTTTATTATTACCCAAACAATGAACTGCGCAAAGACTCTTCTAAAACTACCACATTATAACTACAATAACTCAGACTACCACAAGTAGGACGTTCAATCTCTCTAAAAATCTCCTACGCTAGATCAAACGAAATAATTTGTATACCTTGAACCTGCTGATCCTCATCATAACGTTTTGTCGCCCAATGTAGAGCTCCATTTAACAAGGCTTTAGACGGTCCAGGATCAAGCATCCACTGAATAGATTCTAAACTTCTCCATTCATCAGTTCCAAGGGTAAGAATCTGAACGTCTGATTTAACGTACCTACTTATAGTCATAGAGACAAAATCACGCCTTAAATGAACGCAATAAACTATTCTCACCAATTTATATCCCCTTGTTGTTGGATGGAAACCAAATCCAAGGACTACCTCCTGTCCCGAAGACCGAGTCAGAGTCACCTTAGGTAATTCTATGTAATTTCCATAAATGGGTTGCACAGAATTAAGGGTTGAAATAAAGAGAGTCAAATAAGCATAACAATCCATTACAGGAACCCGGCCACGTCATACTCGGACATGATAGTTTTGAGCCTCGAATCGATTCTTCGCACCTTGGTGGTGTATTGATCATCAGGTCGGTTGCCGATGTTTACATAGTGTTGATACAAGATTTTGTACCAACTGGAGTGATCCAATCGACCTTGACGGGATCGAAACTAATGTGTGCGTGATTATAGATAACCAGTAGTGAATAATAATAAAGTGCAGTAAAGTAAAGGGCAAAGAGATTTTTAAAGTGGTTCTGCGAGATGGACTCTTGAGTCTACGTCCACTGTTTTTGTATTTGCTGTCAGAGCTTACAATGACAATCCTAGAAAAAATTTCTAACCCCTTCCTCATCGTTAAAGGAGGTTTATATACAGAGTTTGTATAACGAAAAGAGCAAAAATAATAGGATTACAATTAAGTTTGAAATGCAACTCCGATATTCTCGCGATTGAGCGCTGTGATTGCGCAAAGATTGCTTTCAATCTAATCCTTCCCGAGATATCCGGGATCTAAACTTATCTGTGAGTTGGTTGAATGACTGCAAGGATTGGTCACGACTAGCTTGTGCTAGCTCGAGCTTATGTTGGGTCAGACAATTGATAGAGTCGGACTGATTCTGGATCAAGCTATTACCTTACAACTCTTCGAGTTTGATGGAAAAATCACACACAACAGCTGTCCCCTAGTGTTTGATGCTCGTTTCGAGCTTCGAAGACTATTACTCGATTTGATATCAAGCTCGACATTATCGATAGGGCATTGGATGGAAACTCAATCGAGCTTCGAGAATTGGACTCATGCCCCATCGACATCATCCACACTTGGACCTTTTCTCTTCTGCGTCACTCTTGACAAACTCAAAATTTGAAAAGAAATGATAGTTGTGTAAATTCCAAGCGGTCATGTCGCATTAAATGCGGCAAACTTTGGCAGTTACATTTCATTGCGCATAGGCGACTATAGCTGTCCACGCGCGGAGTTGAGGCGACGTGCGGCGATGGTTATGATTATAGCAGTCTAACGGTTCATCGCCCCTTGTGGATGGCTGACACGTGGCCATGTCCAAGGGCCGAGATTGCTTGACAAATTGAGGGTCGAGATTCACTGTAGATCAATGGCTATGATCAAGCCCCACCCTTTCGTCTCCCATGCAAACCACTATAAAAGCGGGTGAACTCACCAGAAAGCTTACTCATCTTGCAAAAACTTTCAGATATTCTTGCTCATTCCGTCGCTGCTTCTTCATCTTCACAGTACTTTTTCTGATGAGTTCATCCTATTCTCTCGTTCTGGTAAGGTTTCTTTTCCCTTCCTTTAGTTGTTTTCTTGATTTTCGCGGCTAAGGGTGGACATTGCTTGTGGCCACATTTATTCTTTTAGGGCTTTACTAGGGTTTTTAAGTGTGTCTCCAGCGATCTTAGGTTTAAGGAGGGTTTATCATGGCGGTCGCCGGAATCCTTGGTAGGTCGCATGCGTTTGATGTCTAGCGCGAGCTATCTCGGGTGCCTAAACTAAAAGTAAAGTGTGGATAGGTCGCTGAGTTTTTCAAGCTCTGACACATGTTCGCTTCTGTTTCAAGTACTCAGATGTGAGCTATAGTCATGTTTTCGTCCAACAGCCACATAATTGATTGCAATGTCGATTCCCCTACGAGCTCGGCTGTCCTTGGGGGCATAATCCCCAAGGTTTCTGAGGAGGTCATCGCATGGAGCTCGGATCCTGATGCGGCGGGCTCATCCAATCACGCTTCTGTGGAGTTGGCTCAATCAAGGCAATCTCTGGTCCACAAGCTGCTAAAGGAGCCACAATCCTCGATTAACGTCAAGGATCTTAGGCACATAAAAGAGACTTATGTGCCTCAACTCGAGGGTTCCGAGAAACTTTTCTCAAAAGAATCTCCCCACAAGATGGGTGGCGATCTCTGAGACCCTTTTGAGATGTGGGGTGTCTATTCCCCCTCACCATTTCATCGACAACGTTTTGAGACGGTTTGACATCGTTCCTCTCCAACTATCATTCTCTACATGGTGATGGAAAAATCGCACACAACACATAGTAAAGCTTGTTTTCAATTGGACAGTCAAAGTGAAGGATAAGGCATGGATTTCTAGTGTTTGCTTTTGTATAATATATAATAGGCAGACGAGGGTCTTGGGCTAAAGCACGCCAAGATTTGCATACGCAGTTGACATGCAGGAGGTCTGCGATGGGTAGTCTTGAAAGTATTTCAAAGGCTACTTCGCGAGGAAGATTCTCCATTTTGAAACAAGGTTAGAACTCAGGCATGAAGGTGATCAATTTGTGAGATATAAAATGGTATATTTCAGGTGGGGTGAGAAACTTGGGTGAAAAGAAAAGATATCTTTATGATTTTTTAACAATTATATATTCTATTTGATAATGATTTGCACTACCGTTTGCGTGCGGAAACTTGGAGGTTTTACATTAGCTTTAATGCTCGGGAAGTCTGGAAAACATCTGGATTACCATTTTTGGTATTACAGACCAATCAATAGTTAGATATACTGTGATTGTTACTTTTAAAGCTCCTGATTAGTCCGTGGATCCAGATCAATTTTGCTAAAGCATTACCGAGAGACATTCTACATTTTCCCATTAGTTAATAATAATCGAGTGCAATCTTGGAAACGACGAGATTAAATGATAAATGTGAGTTATTTTTTATTATTATTATAAAAACATCTCAAGCACTATATCAAGCATCGAAGGACAGTTTATGCTTGGTATCAAAGGATGACCCCATATAATCGATATTCTCACTGTATTACTATCGGCATTATTGATTATTCACGAAACTAGTTTCAGAGCATTTCCTCTTTGGTACAAGAGGGTAGGTGAGATTACTTCTGTAGCAAATTACTAAAATAAGACTGTAGTATAGACCACGGCTATCACAAAGTTTTGCAATATGTATGAACCACCATATAAAATGTTAATTACAGCCTGCAAGCAACAGAAAATTCAGCTGCCGCACCATGACAGAGCCTATCATCATACAACAAAAGTTTCCCGCTCTTTGAAGACTTGTTTTCATACAAAGATGAAAAACTTGTGGATTAGTGAAGAATTAGTCAAAGCTAAAATTATTATAAGCAATGGAATTATAAAACCTAGTTTACATCATCAGGACCCCAGGCATCATCTCTCAATTTTTGCCTTGACTGTATGCGATTACGTCTGGCTTCTTCCTGGTTTTTCAGTTCTCTAGACCCAAAACTGGAAGGCAACTTCAATCCCATTCCCTGAGCAATTAACCTCTGGGCGGTTCTTGCTGATGTTTGAGGCCTTTGACGAGGAGGTTCCAGATCTGAAAATGAACAATACAAGATTGATAAATATTGAAACCAAAAATCAAGATACCTTTTCGTTTATAATAATTCAGAGACCAGTTAAAAAGAATATGGTGCATGGTTCATTCAATTGATTTTGCCAGCAAGAAATAAACAATAAATTAATTCCAAGAATGCAAATACATAAATCATAATTTTATTTATTTGTGGTGGCAGAAAGAACAAGTACTGCTCCGTAAAGAGACACATCAGAAAGAGAAATGCTAGCCTTACTCACTTCTTTTACTCACTTCTCTTACTCACTTATCTTCCTATCCCATAGTTTGCAGTCACATGCGGTCACATGCCTGTCAAATCATTGTGTGAGTAAGAAAAGTGAGTAAAAGAAGTGAATAAGGCTAGCATTTCTCCATCAGAAATGCTTGTATACAGCCAGCTATTTTCTCAAGAGGAGGGATATGCCTCTGCTTATGAGGGTTATGGGCCAAAAGCCCAAAAGCAGCCACATCCTTTGGGGCACCTGCCAGTCACATATATGGTATGGTTCGTGATAATTATTATTCCGGAATAAGGGGATGGTCAAATTTTTCTAATCACTCGGGATAAGACAGCAACCGGAATTGACACCTTAGTCCGAATCCAGAGTTCTAAGAAAATGCCAGTATACAAACACTGGTTATTGAGTTTATGAAACCTAGATGCTTATTTATAGATATAAATTAGCACTGACAAGAGAGCACCAGCAGCAGAAATTTGGAAAGGAACAAACTCTAGAGGAATGGCTCCTAGCTGCAGACTTGTGTATGTGTCGCACCAATGGACATGGATATTATGTTCTCAACAATTTCTTTCAAAAGGGTCATCCATCTATATACAGAGATAAGCAGAGTAAAAGTCAAAATATATGGAAACACTATTTCAAGCCGATGAAGTTAAGCAAAGAGGAACATGTAGAAGCCTAAAATGAAAATAAAGGAGGTGCGGTTTAGACTACCAGTAGAGACTGGTAGATTTGTAATTTATTTACCATTATTTATAAGGGTGAGAATGGTCAATAACAACAAACAAAATAGAGATAAAATATAGTACACCTACGCCTCAGACAATATTTCAATAGAAGACCAATGGCCTAACTCGGGGCAACACTAGACTGCAAAAGAAAGGAAATGACTCAAGAAATCTGGTGTCAAAGAAATTGACTGCTAAATCCCAATAGCTTCCATTTAATCAAATAATTTTCATTAGAAACAATGACTAAATGGCTGAACAAGCAATGGTGGAAAAAAAAATCAATTTGTTCAATTTTTACATGTGGCATTTTAAGTGGATATATAAAATATGTTTGGTGGGAACAATATTCTGTATTCTGTATTGTTTCTTAAGCTCCTTACGTGCTTCACTGAAAAAAAATTAATAGCTATATCAGATCAACAAGCAATGGAGCTATATTTGATATCCATTTAGCTTATCGTAATTACTAGCATTTTATATGAGTTGTGTCACATTTCATGGAGGAATTGACAGTTTATCCAGGCCTCATACCCTACCTAAGCTTGTACCTGGAAGAGTTTTAAGAATTCTGAAGAAAAAGAAGAAGCCTATAAAATTTACCTTTTGTAGAAATTGAGCTTAAAAGGAAGTCGTCCTCATCAAGTATACGCACAGTGAATGGACATTTAATGCGGTTCCGCACCTCAAGTGCTGCAGCATTCAGATTGTTAATGGGCTAAGCTTCAAATTTGAGCAGAACATAAAATCTTACAATAAACAACAATGATGCCACTATAAATCCCAACTCTTTCGAAAGCAAATGAAAAGCATTATTCATAAGCAAGGCACTAGCACACCAGTACAACAAATAATTTACTGGTCCGTAAATCACAAGACATGGCTGCAGACAAGAAAAATCACAATAATAAGACCAATCATCTCAATACACTTGTCACCCTATTTGAAGTCAGATGAAGATTTTGATGCCTCGGCTGATTGATCTCAAAGAAAGATCACATACACTTGAAAGATAAAGGTAGTATTGGAAGAGCATCAATCCTTAATGAAAATTCCATAATCACATGGCACAATTATTATACTTCTAAATAACTAGCAAAGGAAAGTGCTGCCTTCAACCCATACATATGTCATCACGCATTTTCTGACATAAAAGTGACAGCATCAGGCATCCAAAATTTAACTAAATTCTTAATACCAAGCCTCTGGTTCTCTAAGTTAAAGATACAGACTTCAATGCAGTCCTCTGAAAGTCAAAGTAAATACAAAAAAACATAACACATTTGCTTATTAATTCTTTCTACCAAAGCTAGCCAGACATACAAATTTGATCCATTTCTAGATGGTTACTTCTACCTCATACTACCAAGAACCATTTTATTACTATCATAAGATCATTTGTAAGAACCTCATCTTGGACACTGCCTCTGGCAAATCATTATTCAGATTGGAAGACATAAAAGATGCCAGGTTTCACTTATTTCAAACTGTTGCTCCACAAGATAAATGCCAAATCTCAACCCTTCATAAATTACAGTCTCAGAATCTCCTCCCAAACAAAGAAGCATGTTAACCAAGACATGATCCAGGAGACAAATGACAATATAATCTCCTCTGAGTTCATCAGGACCGGAAGTTAGAGGAAGCACTGTGCAGTCAATACATGGATAACTTAGAAGACTAGTCTAAGAGGTAAATCACCATTGTATAATTCAAGAGCTAGGCCTTCAAGCACTCATAGTACCTGCAACTTTCAAGCATTCATCTTGGATGAGTTGCTTCATAGATGGAGCAGGAAGAATTAAAGACAGAAATATCCCCACTATTATTTTGCAAAGATTATAACTTATTAGGAGTCTCATATGTAAAATAAAGAGGTGGGATCTATATTTGCCCACTATTAATAAACTCAACTTGCTTATGCCATGAATGTTCCACTAACTAAATAGTTAATCCGTATTGAAAGTCCAAGAACCAATTAAACAACTTAAGTATTGAAGTTAAAAAACTATTCCAATAATTAAACATGTAGCTCTAGGAAAAAGACCAATAAAGTGAAATTAACTTTGTTACAGAAGCCAACTAAGTTAGAATGTCCACTAGCACCCTAAAAGTAAACTTGGGGCAAAAGCTTAAACACAAAAAAAATTCTGCAGGATTGGACATGCCTTAAAGCTTGAATTGCATATGGAGATCGGCTCAATCTAACATTTCAAACATTTGTCTGGTCACAGCTTAGGCCCATACTAGCATCATTGAATTTGGGTCTAGTTGGCTGTCAAGTAACACTACACATAAGCTTTTAAGCTCATAGGTTGGTGTAAGCAAACAACACAATCAAATGCTTACACAAACAGGTAAGGGCATTGATGATTAAGCTCTAACACAGGCATTGGTCCATCTAAGCAACAATATGCAGCTCAATCATGAAATGGAAATTTGGAAATTTAAGCATTAATTTCATGATGTATAGTTGTATGCAAAATTATCTTTTATCATATATTAACTGCTATTCTTTCATCAAATGATAATTTTAGCTACCACAATGCTCAAGACTTTTCCACCCACAAGCTGAACCCCAGCCTCTTCCACATTTGAGGGAGTGAGGCAAGTATTGACTATAGAATTTTGTTGCTAGTTCAAAGTAATTCTATAATTAGTACTAAGGTTTTAATGCATTGGCCCTTGTCCAAATTTTAAAAAGGTTCAATGATTTTGAAATCAAGTCACCAATAGCTTGCAGTTTATTTAGTTTTTAATTGGCACTTTAGTACCTAAATAAAAAATTCTATGCAAATTTGGCTTATGATAACTCCACAATAGTTAAACCATAATTTGGCATCAAAAGACTGATCAAGCTAGTTAAATATAATTACCTACTGACGGTGTACAAAATACTGCAAGCGCAATTGTATCATTGACCCAGCGAATAACAAATCCACGATCTCTGAATTCCTCCAAAAGCTTTTCTAGATCTGTCGTCCTAGTACTAGGTGAAAAGTCAGCCAGAACAAGAACATGGCGCGTACCATATTTAGCTGAAATCACAATAAAACCATCTTCAGAATATAAAACAAGAAGGTAAAATCCGAAATCCACATTAATAGTACAGCATCAATTATTCCAGTTTTGAAGATTAGTTGATGGAATTATTCATGAAATTGAACGTTGCATGGAACTATAATATATACCCTCTTGTTTGGCACCATACAGTCCAACGTACAAGGGATTTATTATCCCTGTCAATCCTGTTTGATCCGCAGGATCAGATTAGATATAAGATTGATATATTTGTTTTATATATATTATATTCCTATTTTTGGAGTAAAATGAGATTGTATTGTAGAATATGTTTGGTTACTGAATGATGTAAGAAAAATAGAAGTAATTTGTCTTACCCTTTTGTTAATTGAGAAAATAAGCAGATAAACATTCTTAAATTCATTAAATACTTGGGAGTAAGCAAATCCCATGGGTTTGAAAGTACAATAAATGGCATGTAAATGAAATTGAAAGGTGGGCCCACATAATTTGCTCTATGTATGTTAACCATGCCAAACAAGAGATAGGAACATGCAATCTCCAACCCAACGAACCAAACATCTTGAATCAAACCCACAGGATTTGCTTACTCCCAAGTTCCAAGTAATACCTTCTTTTTTAAACTGATTTGCTACTCTTTTATTTGATTTTTATTTTTTTGTTCCATTATATAGAAATTTTAAGAACATTTTCTTTAACTGATAAAAACATCATACAAATCAAGTTTTTTTTTTTTTTTTTTTCTTTTTTACAACATTATTAGCTAATTTAATTACATTTGACCAAATATGAGACAATACTATTTATAATCAAATCCTACCATATCTTATCAAAACCAATTCTACACACCAAACAAGGCATAGATGTTTACAACCTATATAATATTATGGAAAGGATGCCCTAAATCAGATGCTGATGTTAGTTGGGGCAATGCCCCTACAATTTTGGAAAAGAATATTATGACATAGTATGCACTTGGGCTGTAAAGGATATAGAAAATAACCATATAGAAGAAAGCCACTCCTCCCTTCAGCAAGAATCACACAAGGGAAAAACTATCCTCAGCTGAAAGGCAAAAGAAGCAACTGCCTATATGAAGATATATACACTGTTTAAGCCTTAAAAGAGATTTCCAAAGAAGAGCTGCAAACTATCAAGCATATGTGTAGCCCAAAAAGCGAAGAAAAAGAAGCTATGACGCCTTAGTTAACTAAGAGACAATAAGGAAAGTTAAAAGCTACTGATCATAGGTACATTTCAGTATCGAAAACTTTAGATCTCTAATCATAATATTTCCTAATAGTCTAACACCATAGATTTATTATACCACTCATTTATAAAGATATAATAGTGGAAACACTCGCAAGATAGGTCATTTAACAATAATAACTAATTACTGTTTGGTTGATAAAAATTATCCTCAAGATACTACAAAACGAGAGAGTTCTTTCAGGATTTCTGTTGCAATACTATCTCCAAATTCTCAAAACATATTTGTAATCTATGAATCATATCAAGGAAATCAGAAGCTACTATTTGATCCATAGATTCATTCATCCAGTACTTGAATCTTCTAATCATAGCAACTATGAAAACAGCATTTTTGTGCGCAAAAATTGTTAAAGAATTTGAGAACACGATAGAGGATTAATCTCTTGCAAATTACATTGTCTTTGTGAAAGGGAAATTGCATAAAACTTCAACTCATATTTGAAAATAGATGAACAAACTCTATAAATTTGGTTCATCTATTCCTATTCCTTAAGCTAGCTTTTCTATCCCCACATCATTTTCAGGAGCTAGCTGAAAAAAAAAAAAAAAAAAAAAAGCAGGAATTGTAGAGAAAGAATTTGACATATAGAGTACCACCACTTTTATATTCCGATTAGCTGACATTTCAGTCTTATATAGCACTAGCATTTTGCACCAAGATCAAAAACCACCAAGACTAGATGGTTAGTAATATAATAAACATATCAATAAGCACAATAGATTGCATTGAACCGTGGTAAAGCATGACTTACTATGTTTTAAATCTGGATTCCTTTCAGAAGTAAGGCTCACACCTTCATCCCCTGTGTCTTCAACAATAGATTTATCATATTGCCGATCACTATACAGTTCATTCTTTTCATAAGAGAATGTTCCCCTTCCACGCCGCTTAGGGGCTTGAACTTTTGTATCTTCCAATGAAAGATTTGATACTTCAGGTAAGCACTGGGAGGATAGTAATTCACCAGGCGCACGATCAGCAATAGCTTCCCAATCTGTAGTTATCCACACCACAGTCTAATTCATAATCATCCTCATATAAATTCCGAAACAACTCCACATTAGCACCACTATAAAGCCATGACCAACTAAGCTGAATCAAAATCAATAAGCAGATGTAGTTCGCAATTACATACCAAGGCAAGCGATTTATTCAACCAAAAACTGAAACCATATCGACTGACACTCACCGTCTTCTGCATACTCATCTTGAGGCAAATCTTTATCAACTGATTTTGCTGATTTCTCAAAATTCCCTAAACAAACCATCCAAGTTAATTCTAAATGTACGATTTTTGCGTTCAAACTGACAGAAATGAAATGTACAAACTACCATCATTTGAAGGCCTATTATGAGCAGAATCCTCCCAAGAGTCCTTCAAATCCTTGTTTACAACTTTCGCATCACTAAAAGAAATAAAAATAAAATAAATATCAACAACCCAGATAACAAATAAGCTAAAAGGAGACAGAAAACAAGCACAGCTTACCGAATTTGAAAAGCACGAGCGAGTAGCTCATCGGATTTAAGAGAGAAACCTTTGGAGGAGTAGAGATTGGCCAAGTTAGTGAGAGCAGAAGCTAACTGAAGATTGACTGGTTCGTTGGTTGATTCTTGGTTTTCAAGTTTCGAAACGGTAGTTTCGAGGAGAGAAATGGCGGCTTCTGTCTCTTCTGTTGCGACCAGATCTTCCACTGCCTCGCTCCAGTTGCAGCTACTTTGGGCTTCTTCTCCGTCTGCTGTTGGATTTTCCATTGCTTTGCTTAAATTTTTGTTCACGATTATTGGAATCCAGTAGTATTTTGGCATTAACCAGATAGATTTTAAAAATTAAAAGCACCCCCTTAAGTTTGTTAATTTACAAAAGACCCCTGTAATAAAAACACTAAAAATTATAAAAACACCCCCACTCACCCATTAAATACCAGCAGCTAGCCACCACCACTGGAGGGTGGTCGGAGTCACCGTATCGGCACATGATCGGCTGGATCTGGCTAGTCGTGTGCCGAGATGGCCTTTTCCAACCAAATCCATTGTGAATCTAGCCGAAAAATGCTAGATTGATGGTCAGATCTAGCAGCGTTTGGTCGTCAATGATGGCCAAAGATATGGCCGTCGTTGACAACTAGCTACGGCCAAAGATCTAGTCGTTGATCTAGCCTTTTCAAGCCATATCTACGGTGGATCTAGCCAGAAAATGCTATAGCGGCGCGCTACCGACCAGATCTAGCTGGTTGTGTGCCATTATACCAAATTCCGGCCTTCCGATAGCGATGGTAGCTAGAATCTGGCAAATGTAGGTAAGTAGAGGTGTTTTTGTCAATTTTTAAATTTTTTTTCATAGATGTTTAGTTAAATTATCAAACTTAGAGGGTTTAAAAATAATTGAATAAAATATAATAGTATTTTTAGAATATGAAAACAAATGTATATTTTGAAAATGATAGGTATAGAATAGGACCAAAGTAGGGAAAAAACTTATGTTTGGGGATGATTTTAAAAATTGATAAAATTATAATGACGTGATATTATGTTATTTTGTATGTAATTTATGTATTCTCGTTTTAATTAGAATCTAATTGCATCTAATTATATATGTTAAGGAAATAAATATAATTAATTGAGTTACTGAATTAGAGTAAATTAGAGAGTAAGTCACTTTCGGGATGAATTCATAATAAAATTCAATCAGTACCCATCCCATATTTTCTTTGTTACAGTCCCTTAACATACTTTATTATTTAAAATTTTTCAAGACCCTTAATTAACTTTAGTTACTTATCTCATAATCTTAGCAATTCAATCATTAAACTGATGTAACAATCCTTCCTAATTACTATTTTATTTATTTTAAAAAATTTAAGTCTTCTAATTATGTTATAAATATTAATTTGTATTAGTATTTGTCCTTTAATTTCTATGTTCATTTTTCCCTATTTATATTCTCCACTTTATCTTAAAAATGAATAATGCTTATTCGATTGTGACATTTTTTTAATAAATTAATTTTGTAATGATTTTGATGCTAAATCATTAACTTAGGCGGTGGATTTTATATTTTCTAGGGGTGGGATAAACCGGTTAACCGAACCGGTTTATCCAAACCAAAAACCAAACCGATTTTTCGGTTTGGAGAAAATCCAAACTGAAAACCGGACCGGTTTCGGTTAAAAACCGAATGTAAACCGAACCAAATTTTCGGTTCGGTTACCGGTTAACCAGTTTTCAAATTACCCTTTAATCCTTAAAATTCTTCAATGTTTCATTTAAGTCCTTAAACAATTAAAACAGCAAATTTTGAACACAAACTGTCTTCAACTCACAGAGTTCAGAGTTCAACTTATCGCTATCAAACTAAAACATTTTCAAATATATATTCTTTCTCCAATCTAACAAATCCGCACAAATAAACAATTAAAACATAGTTAATTTTGAACACAAACTGTCTTCAAATCACAGAGTTCAACTTATCGCTATCAAATTAAAACATTTTCAAATATATATTCTTTCTCCAATCTAACAAATCCACACAAATAAACAATTAAAACATAGTTAATTTTGAACACAAACTGTCTTCAAATCACAGAGTTCAACAAAACAAACAAAGTTCTAATCAAGAGTCTGCTCAGTGCTCACGGTGGGTCTGCTCACGCCTCACGGTGGAGTCTCTTTAGGGTGGGTCTGCTCAAGCCTCACAGTGCGTCTGCTCACGCGTCACGATGGAGTCTCTTCAGGGTGGGTCTGCTCAAGCCTCAAAGTGGGTCTGCTCACGCCTCATGGTGGAGTCTCTTCAGGGTGGGTCTGCTCACGCCTCACGGTGGGTCTGCTCATGCCTCACGGTGGACTCTGCTGGAGTGTTAGGTGCTGGCGAACGACGAACGTAGCTCACGGTGTGGATGGAGTAGCTCACGGTGACTGGACAATGGATGGAGTCAGCTCTGCTCAGTAGCTCACGGTGGGAAACTGAAGAACTGTGGATGGAGTCACAGTGTGGAAGACTGGAACTGCCGGCGAATTGGAGTCTAGGACTTTGGAAGTGACGAACAGACGATTAACGAAGTGGAAGTGTAGAGATTTGAAATTTTCAGATTTGGAGAATGAAGGCAGAGAAAGATGAATGTGGATGGAGTAGCGTGACTGCGTGAGGACTGAGGATTAAAAAAAAAAAATTTGCTTTTATATTTAGGGTTAAGCCGGTTTAAAAACCGGTTTGAATTTTTTTTCAAACCGAAAACCGAACCGATTTGTAAAAAAACCTAATTTTTGGTTTAGTTCGGTTTTCGGATTTTTTATCCCACCCCTGATATTTTCTGAATTAAATGGATGAGTTAACACTAAATGATCTCACAAGAGAAAATAAATAAATTCTAGAATAAAAATTATAAAATTAACTGAGATTCAATTTCTTTTCTGCGTTTTTGGTCTTGACCCCTAACGTTGAATTAAATAATTTTTTTTTTCAAAAATATCATAAATTCTCTTGTGTTGGAGAGTTATTAGTGCATTGTTAGAATTTATAATATGATAACCAAATACGTAACTGCTTAAATTTTAAATGCTTATAAGCTAATTTTCATAAACTCAGTCAAACAAGTTCTAAATAAAAACACTTAAATCCTATCATATAACTCACGTTAGTATTGTTTTTTGTTAGACCACTCGCTTATTACTTATAAGCTACTTTGACTAAATATATTATCATATTGCCTCTTTTTAATTTTAAAATTTCACTTTGTACCCTTATTTTTAACAATGTACCATTTTTAGTTATTTTAATAATAAAATATACGTATAAGTCACGTTTTCCCATATATGTCAACTACTTATCAATTACTTATAAGTATTTTAACTAAATATGCAACTAATTAAATTTTAAATGCTTACAAACTCAAATTAGCTTATAAGTACTAACTTCCACGCGATAATAAATAAGAATTATATTACAATTTCAAATATATTTTTATTTTTTTAAATAGTATTGGTATAAAATAGTTTATTTTTGAACAGTTTTTAATAAAAATAATTATATATATGTTGGAATAATGTTGGAATAATTAATTATCTAAAATCTATTTCAACTATGCATTAATTTAGAGTTTAAGTATATATCCGTCAACAGAATAATTTTACAAAAATTAATTTCTTATTGAAATAAGAAATATTGATTACTCGTTATCCACTTCTTTGGAATAAATTAAAAAAACGTTTTCTTGCATGGTTGAAGCTTTCCCTGTCGTCCATTGCTCATTTCAATTTCTCTTTCAACCAAATTTTGCTATAAACGTGGTCCCTGATGATATACATATTTTCAGGAAAAGGACATTTGCATAGGGAGTACTTTTCGAAAGACTATTAAAAATAAGTTTTAAAGATAAATTCAAAATTAAAATAAATGTTAAAATACCAGTAATAATATTACAATTTAGGATACAAATTACACATTTTTTTTAAAAACTTAGTTGATTAACAGGGACTCCAGATGGGGGGATCTAATAAGGCGTGCATGTGGAGGCAATTATTTAAAGCACCCGCTAGGCCGCCACGCCTTTCAGATTTTAGTTATATTCAACGCACGAATAGGTTTTTTTTGGCAAACATGAAACAACAACTAACAATCAACAGAGAAACCGTCTTGCTCTTACCTCACCTCACCTGCTCCGCTGGCAATTTCCCATTAAATTCAAAGTCAATCATCCACTCCGTGTCTTTAAATTGAGAAAAAAAAAATTTGATATAAATAAACAATATCTTGTTAGTTTTAAAATATAAAAAACTTAATTTTTATTTAAGTTTAATATACTCTTTAAATTTAATAAAAATACTCTTTATTTTTAAGAAAGAGACTTAATGAAAAAGAGAATTAATAAATAAAATGTATAGAAACTTGTAATTTATTAATTAAAATTAAGATAAAGAGTAAAATTTGACTCTCTAAATGTGGAGGGTCAAACTCAATCTCTAATTTATATATTAAAGATAAAGAGTCTGTTAGACTCTTGTTTTTATATATAAACTCTTTATAATAAAAAGTTTGAGTCATATAAAAGGTTATTTGGAGATGTTCTATCTCCAATGATGCTCTTTATTTTAAATAAGATATTTTATATAAATAAAGAGCATATTCATTGATTTTTAAATATAAAGAGCAAAATTTTTATTCAAATCTAATGGACTCTTTAAATTTAGGAGAGAGAATATGTTTTTTCAAGAAGAAAACTTAATAAGAGAAATAAATCATAAATAAAATACATAGAACTTACAATTTATTATTTAAAATTATGATAGAGAGTAAAATTTAACTCTCTAAATGTGGAGAGCTAAACTCACTCTTTAATTTACATTTAAAGAATAAAAAGTCTGTTCGACTCTTATTTCTATGGATAAACTCTTTATAATAAAAAATTTAGGTCATATAAAGAGTCATTTGGATAATAACTCAACTCAACTTTTTTCAAAAATCCTACTCAAAATAGTCCAACAAGCACACCTTTGTCCTTCAATAATTACAAAATTGTCTTGGTTATATTGTTATAATTACAAAATTGCCCTTCATTTATAAACCGAATTTTTGCCCACAAAACGCAGCTACAGCCTACACATAGTCACAAACACAATCAACCCTAAATCCCTAATCTGCTACTGTCTTCTGTCAATCCGTCATCACCTCTTCGTAGATTCCGGCCTCTACAAACCGTAATCTACTATTGTCATTGCATCTTCGCCAATTCCGGCCTCCATAAACACTAATCAACTAC